AGTCTCTCTCCCTCTCGCTTTCGCACATGCTCGCGTGTGCGAATCTTCTTTTTCTTGAGAAAAAAGGCATCGATGGACCACCGATCAATTATGAAACTGTTCGGAGCAGATTCCACACGATGGGGGGGAGAGGGGTGACGCATCTCTCTCTCTCTCGCGCGCGCGCATACGAATTTCTCTTTTTGTTTTTCCCCAAAAAAAGGGCTCGATGGACCACGGATCATCTACGAAACTGTTCGTAGCAGATAGTATACTCGATAGTGGGGGGGGGGAGGGGGGAGGGCGCATACTTGGTTACATTGGGGTCTCTCTCTCTCTCTCTCTCTCTCTCTCTCTCTCTCTCTCTCTCTCTCTCCCATTCGAATCTCTTTTTGTTTTTCGGAAAAAAAAAGGTCTCAATGGACCACCGATCAGCTATGAAAAATGTTCGGAGCAGATACTGTACTTGATAGTTGGGGGGTGGGGAGGGGAGGGTGCGTAGTTAGTTACATTGGGGTCTCTCTCTCTCTCTCTCTCTCTCCCCCCCCCCCCCCCGCGCATGCACGCGTAGTTAGTTACATCGGGGTCTCTCTCTCTCTCTCTCTCTCTCTCTCTCTCCCCACAAGTCTCTCTCCCTCTCTCGATTTCGCGCATGCACACGTGTGCGAATCTTCTTTTTCTTGGGAACAAAGGCATCGATGGACCACGGATCAGTTATGAAACTGTTCGGAGCAGATCCGACACATGATGGGGGGGAGAGGGGTGACACATCTCTCTCTCTCTCGCGTGCGCACACACGAATTTCTCTTTTTGTTTTTCGGAAAAAAAGGGCTCGATGGACCATGGATCGGCTATGAAAGTGTTCGGAGCAGATACTATACTTGATGCGGGGGTGGGGGGGAGGGCGCATAGTTTGTTACATTGGGGTCTCTCTCTCTCTCTCTCTCTCTCTCTCTCTCTCTCTCTCTCTCTCTCTCTCTCTCTCTCTCCCTTCTGGTCTCTCTTCCTCTCTCTCCCTTTCCCGCCGCGCACAATCTAGCATTTTCTTTCTTTCAATGGCGGTAGGAACTCTCTCTCTCTCTCTCTCTCTCTCTCTCTCTCTCTTAGAGTGCCCGCCTAACATTTTATCTTTCTTCTAGCGGAGGGGACTGCAGGGGAGCGCAGGTAGAGGTGCGCTGGTGGGGAAGCGGTAGCAGAGCGGGTGGAGGTGAGCGCGGGCGGACGGGAGTGGAAAGGAGCGCAGGTGCAGGGAAGCACTGGCGGAGGGTAGTGGAAAGGAGTGCAGGCGCAGGGGAGCGGTGGTGCAGGAGAGCGCTTGCAAAGGGGTGCGCTGGCGGAGGGGAGCGGAGGGGAGCACTGGTGCGAAGAGCGGCGGAGGAGGGGGTGGAGCGGCGGTGGATCGATGGAGATAGAGTAGCTGGGGGGTGGAGAGTGGCGAAGGAGGGGAAAGGGCCAGAGGACCAGCCGATAGGTGGAAGAGCAGCGGAGCAAGGGGGGGAGCGCAGGCGGAGGGGAGCGGCCAAAAGGGAGTGGAGGGGAGCGCTGGCAGAGGGGAGCACAGGCGGAGGAGAGCGCTGGCGGGGGGTGCGCTGGTTGAGGGGAGCAAGGACCACAGGTGCAGGGGAGCGGGCGGGCAGGAGAGCGCTTGCGAAGGGGTGCGCTGGCGGAGGGGAGAGGAGGGGAGCACTGGTGCGAAGAGCGGCGGAGGAGGGGGTGGAGCGACGGCGGTGGAGATGGAGTAGCTGGGGGGTGGAGAGTGGCGGAGGAGAGGAAAGGGCCAGAGGAGCAGCCGATAGGTGGAAGAGCAGCGGAGCAAGGGGGGGAGCGCAGGCGGAGGGGAGCGGCCAGAAGGGAGTGGAGGGGAGCGGCCAGAAGGGAGTGGAGGGGAGCGCTGGCGGAGGGGAGTACAGGTGGAGGAGAGCGCTGGCGGGGGGTGC